AAATGTGACGTTAATTGCATTGCCCGCGTTAGTGTATTAGTTGTTTAATCGTCAATCTTCTTGAACGTTCCTGCAATGCCAGCGCTCGGCAAGCACTCCACGTGGTTGTCATTCGTTCCTGAGTGACGTAACATGGTCTCGTTCTTTAAAGGGAAGCCGTATTTGTTGTTCTCCTTGAACTCCTCGTTCGAGGCAAGCAATTTGTCTCTCCATTCTTTGTTGGAAAATTCTGGTAACTGACCGCCAAGGTCGGCCGGTAGCATGGATGATGGTATGAATTGATGTAAACTACCGTATTCCTCGCCATGAAAATGTAACTGTTAACAAAAAAAGCATGGTGAGTTTTCACGTCATGTAAGAGCCTACTCAAAGATAAGCTGCTACGTGACAATCATTCAAATGAGCATTCTTGTCATTATGCTGAACCTCTCAGAGGTGTGCGATAATTGTGATTAAATAGTAAATATGTCATTTGCTCACTAATATAATTTCTTCATCTCAGTGCTATGAATTGATTGGTGGAGACAATTAGATATGCATTGACTACATAATAACGAATTTCAAATATAGAAAACGCAATACGTCGCCCTCTAGCGACGAAGGGTGTACAAACGATGACAAAAACGGGCGCACTTACCCTGCTCGTTAATTTTGAACTAAGCAGCCCCTTGACAAGATTAAACAATTTCTGAAATAGAGCAGGTTGGCGCACAAAGTGGACAGCTCTGATACGAAGAGGAAGTGCATTCTAGAAGTGAAAACGTAGGTATGAGTAAGTCCATGACATCATTCAATCTGTACTAATAATACATCTGTATTATTTAAAGCGCGGTGGTCGTCGCGCTGCGCATATGCGACATTTGTGTTGATAAACATTGATTTTCCCACAATCCAATGCGCTCTTCAAATGGAAATCACAACTATGAGGTTTGACATGGGCGCGACTTGCACTGATTACCGCTGGTGACTCCTTCGATACCTTCCGATCACCTAAAATTACTTAATTAAAGCTTGGAAACGTCTCATTTTGTACTCGTTGATCTGCGCATATATCTCACGCATGCGTGGCGCAACGACTACCCTTTAAAGTCTATGATTCGAAATATATTAGGTGGGGTTAGGGGCTAATATTTTTCAGCTCGCCGACAGTTGAGTCATTGTTATATCGGCTCAATCGATATGAGTCATAGTTTGTAAGTATGTTTTGGTTAATTACCTCGTATATATCAGTCATTTTCTTCATCATAGATGGTTTCACCATTGTCATATGTTTCATGGAGAAGGCTTCGAAGTCGGCGACGAATACCATTCCGTTTACCTGTGTTTCCTCTTCTTCCAGCAGCTTTTCGATCATCATGAGTGATCCCCGGAACCCATCAGCTACCTCATAACGGTCCGGATCCCACCTTGCTGTTAACAAACAACATTCGAAATAAAATAAAAAAAAAATAATCACCGTGTCTTCTAGTGCAGAAAAGGAAGATTTGATCTGTCAATCAAATCATATGTAATAGCTGAGTAATGATTGGTTTGGTCTGGCGTACGAAATACTGAACTACGTAAAGTGCCGATCACAATGAAACGACTGAAGCGTGGAGCGGTGTCTCTTTAACCGCAGTTTAAAATGATAGAACTCCAAACATTCCGCGTCGCTCTGTTGTTTCCGAATTATTCTTATAATTTAAGAGTTGAACACGACTGGAGATTGGGTTTCAAAGAGAGAGGCAGTGTATGCAAATGTTATGGCCAACATTTACTCCCCGTGGTATGAGCGGGGCTTAGTAATTTAATATGACTGATTATTCAACAACAACAACAACAACAACAACAACAACAACAACAACAACAACAACTGTCAATTGTTTTGTGTATGCCATTTGACCTTTATGTTTATTCTATTCTACTCTGATATTTGAATCGTATTCGTCCCAGTTTACTTGAAATATAATCTACCGAAAAGAAAATGATATGTATTTTATTTATTAAAGCGCATTACATTTTTTGTTCTAAAGAATTACACCACACTAACTTAATCTATTTAATATATTTCATTCAGTGCGTTCTTGTACGATACTATTTTCTTCAAAGTATTACTATCGATTTATTGTTATTTTAATAATAATTAAACTACAAAATAAGTTAACATTTGTCCTTTTATGAAATACTGAATGTCACAACGCATACTCTGAAAAAGCTATGTCGACTGACTTCACTGAGCGACTTGTAACGCTACATACCAATCGGGTATACGTTCCATTCTACCAACGTCGATTGTAACAAACAACTCAACCATGCGGGAACGTCTATTTCAGGGGCGCTTTCAGTAAGTATGGGTGTTCAGGCTTGAAGCAATGAACCACATCGCCCCGTATGGAACGTACACCGCCATATATCTTTCAAGGGCACGTGTAATACAGTCGGCTGTCAGCAATTCGCCGATATATCCAGCAATGTTATTACATTAATAATTTCATGTAAACCTTGGACAGCAGTATTTAAAGCGGGAGGGACGTCATTGAGTTCCATGCGATGAATAACATCACACGCAAAAAACGCAAAGGCACATGGGTAAACCCTTGCTTGTAAACATTCATTCTCCTTCCCAGAGTTCTTTGCGGTTAGATCACCAAAAGTATATATTCGTAGAAATAGAACTCTGTCTGGGAGATTGGTAAACATTGACACGCAATGACCATCTGACGCATGCGCAGGCGACGAGTCTCCGGCTTTAAGAGCAATCATAGTCTATGGAGCATATAGCCGACTGAGATCACATGGATGCATGTAATAGTAGTGGAATGAGCTCATATAGGCAAGCGTGTACAAACAGTGAAAATCGCAAATATGAAAACAGAATATGCTAAGACAGGAATGAAATACGCTAAAATGTGAAAATATACTAATATGGAAATGTAATG